TCGATTCCAGTGTGAGGTCCGAATTAGATTGCACTAGACCGCGCCCACCCCTAGCTAAAAAAATGAAATTTCTTATAGTTTTAGATTGCCCATATATATGGGTTTTCAAAGATATTGTCTTTTAAACTCAATTATGACTAGTGCTTGTCTTAGGGTCGATTGAGATGATGCTAATTTAGTTTCTCTGAGGTCCTATCCATAAAGTGCTGTTAATTGGGAGTTTTTAAGTTAATTCAAATTTTTATTAATTTTAAAAAGATTTATAGGTTTTTAAAAGACAAAAAAGTGGATAATGTTTATTTAACGGAAAATTTAACAGATCGGACTACATTGGTTAACAGTTTTAAACATAGGGACTAAATTGACCAAATTAAAAATATAGAGACTAAATTGGCCAATAGATAAAACACATGGACCATTTTGACATTAAGCCTTAGTTTTAATTTTACTAAAATCTAATACTGTTATGTTATGGTTAATTGAAAGGGCATGTGTCAAAAAGTTAGATAAGGGACAGGAAGGGGAAGAAATATCTGGACTCGAGGTTAATAGTATTTATCCATGCATTTGAGATCATATGTTTGATTTCCTCTCCGTCAACTATCGCTTGTATAAAGAAGAAAATCACAGGCCAACTCTGTTGTATTATAAAGCATAAACCAGTCCTCAAGATCCTTGAGCCCAAGTTCAGTAAGGCTCTGCTCTGTTTCAATGTGTTTATATTTCTATTTGTAGATCTTACGAGTTTACCCGCACCTACCAACTCAAGTCCTGCTACTTTCCAATGATCACTTAATATGTGAAGCTTCCATTGGTTGTGCTATGTTTTAATTTTTGGTTTATGTTTCGAATTTCGAATTTGGTTTGTAATTTAATTATCAATTTTTATATTGATATGAAATTCTTAAGATTGTATGTTTGGATTGGATGGCACATGGCAGCATGCATGTTTTGTGTTTGGAAGTTAAAATGCATATGCATATATCATGTATATGTTGTTTGCTTTGTTGGATTGTACTGAATGTGAAAGAGGTTTTAATTAAAGTTTAGGCCCGATTGAAATGTGAAATTAGATTGAATTATGTTTAGGCCCAATTGTTATACAAAGTGAAACAAGGCCTTATATGCTATTAAAAAAAAAAAGATCCAAATCGGATAACCTTAAAATCCCACCAGGAATAAGCAGTTCGACTTGGTGCGGTTTTCCTCCTATTTTTCTAAAAAATTGGACCGAACTGAACGGGTTGAACAATACTGATTCCGGTTCCTGTGTGAGGTCCAAACCGGATCGCGCCCACCCCTACATTCTACCAAGGTGTCACGGGGGTTTGAACTTGAGACCATGGGGCTAGACCCCTTTGGCTTAGGTTAACATTTTAATTCAAGTACTAGTTCAAATGTCAACAATATATAAGAATGAGTTAATTATATAAAAGTACCCAAACTTTAGGGGTCGTTTCAAATTAGTACCCAACCTTAAAAAAATTTGCACGTAGATATCTAAACTCTCGAAAAACCTACAAATAAATCACACCATTAGTTAGATAGTTAATCAAACTGTTAAATGCCCCCTCCAACAATTCTTATTACGATGATAATTTTTGGCCGATCGATGTGGTTTTGGGTAATTATCACCAGAATTTCAAAACACAACTATTTTAAATGGCCAAACAAGTAAAATAATAGTTTATATTAAAATGCAAATATCTATGCACAACAAAAATTATGTATAAAAATAAATATTAACAAAAACATTTTAACATGCTTATGAATGGCCAAAACACCATGCCAAAGTGTAAGACATTTGAAACTTGAAGGATGCAAGGCAAGAAGGGGCAAGATCAGGGAGCAATCACACATCACTCAGGGAGGGAAAAGTGAAGTACCTATTATGTGTGGCCACTTGAGTTCCTAGCAAGAGGCCCTTGGGCAAGATATCATAAGTTTGAGCCAAGGAACAAAAATGTGAGGGCCTAGGCCCAAAGTGGACAATATCTTGCTAGTGAAGCAATGTCGATCGTGAGGGCCTAGGAACGGAAATGCTACAGTGTGGGGTTATGGTTGAGGGACTTGAGTGAGGGGTTCAATCTAACCATTCAACTTCAACATTTTCGACTTACACATGCTTGAGTTGAACCCCTCATTTATACCCCCTCATTGTAGTAGGTCCCTACCTAGGAATGAAACCAAAGGCAAAAGTCCCATATCTCATAAGGCGAAGCAAATTACATGTTCCAAAGTTTGTGGAACAAAATAAGACATGATCCAAAGGTTAGGAAACATTAATAAAATTTACCATTAAAATTTCTGTAATATATTTTTTAATGAAGAAGATATATAATATATTTATTAACGGAAAAATAGCCCAATTGACAACCATCGGAGAAATTATAGAGTAGTATGGTATCACCACATCAGCTGGTGATATTTCCACTTAAAATATGCTGTGTGTCATTTTAGAAAGAAAATAATTATTCTTTTTTATAGCTGAACTTTATTTATGTCTATTGAAATAAAATTAGAAAAATAAACAACTTAAGAAAAAGGAAAAGAAAATGTCCCAGCAACCCAACCCAACCCAACGCCTCCCCCATGCCACAGTCAACGCCCCCTCTGTCTTATTCTTTCTCTGACTGCCATCAACAGTCATTAGTCACAACAACTAAGCCAAATCCCAATAGCCCAATACATTGTTGCAACCAGGAAACTTCATCATCATTATCAATGAAGTAAATAACCATCTAATCCTAATATCTTATGGGGCTTATTAGATCCACAACCGAGAGCCAACATAATACCCAACACAATCAACCTTTTCAATATCCATATCTGATGTGGCCTGTTTGTGATACACCCACCTCCCATTACAACCTTCTTAACATCAGATGGCAATCTGTAATTTAGAAGTCAACATTCATCAACGAGAAAATATAGATGGGTCTTGGAGTAGCCACTGAACGGTTAAGAAGCATCTGGCTATGATTTAGCAGTTGAAGGGAAACACAGAGAGAGAGAGAGAGAGAGAGAGAGAGAGAGAGAGAGAAAGAAGGCTACCAGGGCAGGCGATGCGGGGGTAGGTGATTGTTGGGGTCATTGATTGCTCATCTTTTTTTTTTTTTTTTCCTTAATTTTTTTTAAAGGGTGAAAATTAGGTTCCAATTCTAGCTGTAAAATAAAGTGTGAGTTGTTTAACAATATGCCACATGACATATTTTAAATGAAAGTACCACTAGCTGACATGGTGATACCTACTTTTATATAATTTCTCCAAGCATCGACTTTATTCTTCTTCTTCCATTCCACTTTCTCTTTGTTGTCTTGAAGCATACATTCAAAATGTATAAATGTCAGAATGGTGCATCTCAAGTGTATAAACTACCCTAGTGGTGGTCACCTCCCCCAAGTAATATCATAAAAGTTAATGTAGACGCTTCATGGCGATCTACTGTTCAACAAGCAGGTGAGAGAATAGTCCTTCGCAGTGCTTTGGGGGATTTTGTGGCAGGTGGGGCTCTTCCAATTATAGATGATTCCCCTTTACTCTATGAAGCTTTGGCTGTGTTGGAGGGGTAAAAATTCGCCAAGAAGTAGGGTTGTGCTCACATTGTAATTGAATCCGACTTCAGGTAGATTATCAATGCTCTTCAAGGGTCCATTTCAAGAGGCATGTGTCATGTCTGTCCTGTGCTCACAATGATAAAAGAGATTCAGGCAGAACTCAAGGAGTGTACTTGGTCTTGGGTTCTCAGAACTGCAAACCTGACAGCAGACCACTTCGAGGATGAGCCCATCTGTTTGGGTTAATAGACCCCTATCCTCGCTGGTAGGCATTCTTAATAAAGATGGGTTACCTTGTCCACCCCATCAATAGTTTGGGACTAGTGAGGAATTTGACAATGCCATCATTGGTTGGTTGGGTCGTCTTCTACCTGTGTTTCCTCTAGTCTTTGTATCTGTCTACTTTTTTTTTAGCTGCGGTTATCTATTAACTTTGGACTTTGGCTTTGTAACTTTGGCATTTTGCCCTAATATTGTTATTCCAATTTGAACAAAAAAGAAAAAAGAAAAAAAAAGCATAATAGTTTAAATTGAAATGAATATATATATATATATATATGTGTGTGTGTATAACAAAAATTCATAAAAAGAGTCTATTCACAACCAAAATTCTATATAAAAATAACCTCGAGACTGGAATTGAAGGCAGAAGACCCATGTATTATAACGCGAAGCAAATTACATGTTTCAAAAGTTTATGGACCAAAATTTGGCCCAAAAAAAGAGTTGATGGACCAATATGAGACATGATCCCAAGGTCAGGAAACATTTATAAAATTTTCCATTTAAATTTTTTTTAGATTACTCCACTTTTAATTGTTGAGATTACATCTGACATGGCAAAACAATATTTTTTTCTTTAATTTATATTTATATATTGGAATTATAATTAAGAATTCATTCCCTCTCATCTCATTAATTATATTTAAGGGAGTTTCACTAAAACACCCAAAATGGGAGTTGAAATTATAAAAAAACCCAAGCACTATTTAAACATATAAACACACCCAAAACCCATCATTACACACACTCAAAACTTTAGATTATTCCACTTTTAATGGTTGAGATTACATCTGACATGGCAAAACAATATTTTTTTCTTTAATTTATATTTATATATTGAAATTATAATTAAGAATTCATTCCCTCTCATCTCATTAATTTGTATATATTTAATTCATTCATTCTCTCTCTCTCTCTCTCTCTCTCTCTCTCTTCTACAGAGAATTCACGCCTCCACCTCTGCCTCTGCTTCTTCTCTCTCTCTCTCCGGTCCCTTCTCATCCCCAAAGCCACCCTCAACACCACCACCACTCCAACCCCTACCCTACCTAAACCACAAATCACAGGGACTCTCTCTCTCCTTCTCTCTCTCTCTCTCTCTCTCTCTCTCTCCTCTCTCTCTGGCACTGCAATCTCTTCTGCACAAGAATCTTGGACTCGGCTGTGCCTTCACTGTACCTCGCAAGAGTTACACGCACGAGATTGTTACTCTGGTACAGAGCACTGGAAGTTCTGCTCGGTTCAACTCATTACTCTACCGACGTCGATATGTGGTCCGTCGGATGTCTTTTCGGTACTTAATTCTTACTTGCTCTCACAATTTCTTTGTTTTCGTTTGGATTTAAAGTCTCAATTAATGACTTGTTAACTAATTAATTTGATTGATTGTGCTAATATTTGATTCTTAAGTCACTCTCAAAACTTACCTCTTTTCTTGTATTTGAGTTTATGTTTGCTGAATGTAATATGTGTATCGTGCTCTGAAGCATATGCTTGGAAGTCTCATCTAGCTTATTTGCCATTCATTAGAGTTCTTGCCTAGTTCTTACTTGTTATTGGAGCCACTCTGCAAAACTGTGTTGAAAGTTTTCACTTCAATCTTATTTGCATTTGATTATCTGTGTATGTTTTACTGCCAGCATTGAGTCTTATTTATTAATCCCTATATGCAACTATAAAATTGGCAGGGAAAGAATAGAAAACGAGCCATAATGGCCAAGATAGCTGCTCTTGCAAAAAAAAGGCCAGAAAAGGATGTCAAAGTTTCCACTGTGATGGATACTAAGAATGTAAGTTAATGAACTGGTTTACGGGTTTTTTGGTGCTTAATTTTTAGTTTGTGCTACTTATAATTTATTTAACAGAAACTAATGTGACATTTTGTTCTTGCAGAGGCTGAGTTCAAAAAACAAAAATCAAGTATGATGCTTTGGATAAATTAAATGAAGAGCTTGTAAGCATCTTTTATATCTCTTATTTTAAACTCAACTGGTCAAAGCTGAGAAATTTTATGCTTGCAGTTATTGGACTGATAGTTTCCTTCAGCTTCTATTGGCTCTCAGCTAGTATGCTTGTAAATTTTGATATTTTTCAATATTGTTTCTGAGACTAGCTTAGTGTGTATGCTCAATGATATGCGTAAATATCTATTTCTGGTTGCTGGTGATTGAGAATTCTATTGCTAATGTGACATTTTGTTCTTGCAGAGGTTGAGTTCAAAAATCAAGTATGATGCTTTGGATAAATTAAATGAAGATCTTGTAAGCATCTTTTACATCTCTTATTTCAGAATCAATCTTGTTTTATTCATGCTGTGCAAATCCCATATTATGTTCTGTCAACATCTAAGGTCTCGTTAACTGATGCACAGACTACAAGCAACTAAAAGCCAAACAAATCGAATAGCATGTAAAATCAGGGTTATGCACCTGTATTTAAAGAAGGCACAAAGTCTAAATGTGGCAGTCATGGTGATATGCAACTGTCAAATGAGAAGAACAATCGTGACGAAGAGTTTGAGCATGACAGTAATGGATACAGTGACGTATGTTGCAAATGACGAATTTAATGGGTAGAATTACAATGACGAATACAATTTTAATGAATTATGACTCAAATAGTCAACTCAATTTTCTTGATTTATATTTTTTTTTCATTAATCAGTTGTATCATGTTACGATATATAAGTTAAGCAATTGAATCTTGTGGTTTTTGACAACTTTTTCAAATTAGTATCAGTCTGAGGAGAGATGCTATTAAGCATTGTCTGTATGTGAAACTCTTCGAACTATAACCATGAGCAAAATTTGTAAATGGGAACACTGAATTGTTGGTTCAAAGTTCACAGTTAAGAAAGTGTCAGATCCAATGCATTTAAACCAACACATGGCATGCCACATTTTTATAGATGTAGAAGGAAATTAGAGAGCTGAAAAAGCAACTCGATCTTGCTCAATCACGGGTGGAGGATTTACTACAGATGGTTGGAAATGATAATGATTCAAGACAAGTAGATAATTTTGCCTATGTATTTTGGGATATTCATCAATAGAGTGCACAGTTGTGTGACACCGAGCAAGTTCATTCTATAAGGTCTTTTGAAGAGAGTTGAGTTATTATTTTGCTGTAAGCCTGTAACAGAGCATCCACCATTATTGTGTTCACCATTTGCATGAAATTTCCAGCCTTTCCTGTTGGCGGAGGCTCTTTGGTTGCTGCAATCCAGGGTATGAAACAAGCACCAACTAAAGTTTTTAAGAAGCCAGAAGCATAAGAAATTGAGTGTAGAGAGAAGCACCAATTGACAACAATGTTTCCCTTGTTTTCTTCTTCCTAAATTCAATACTGACAATACCAAAAAGCTTCTCAATATTTTATACAAGTCTAAGCAAAAAAGGCTTCTTAATATTCCATACAAGTCTGAAGAAAATTTCAACTTCCAAGCTGTTCAGAGTTTGCTAGTGAGAGCAAGATACTTGGTATGACAGCCCTAAGCTATAATTTTGCATGTCTTCTTCTTCCTTAACTCAACACTGGCAACACCAACAGGCTTCCCAACTCGTAAAGCCTTGGCCTCAACTTCAACCTCCTCACCAGAGTAAGCAGAATTCAAGTATGAAACATTGCTATCTACTGAAACTCCGAAGCTGGGAAGAAAAAAATAATCATACAAGGGACAAGTTAAAAACTTTAACCTATGTTTTCATTCAAACCATACTTATTGATCAAATAATTTATTCAGTGAAATACTTCATTGATCAAAGCTATAAATTAAAAACAACTCACCATTAACAATATTCTTAGTCATCACTCTCCACATCTTGGCACAAGTCTTCTAACTCTTCTTTGCCTGAATTTAGATTCATAATAATCAAGTTAAACATAAGCTTTTAACCTTATTATTAGAAATAACAATAATAAAAAGTGAACAAACTTACATGGATTTGCTGATTCATTCTTTCTTCTTTTCAGATTTGATGGACAATTTCTTTTGTCCTGTTGTGCTATCTTTTTGCATAATGTACACTTTCTTTTCTTCCATTGTGTCAAATACCATCCCTACGTATGGTGCTTTTAATTGTGCCACTTTCTATTTTGGAGTAATTTTTTCACCATTCTCCACTTGAATTATCTGCTCTACCTATTGAACATATTAATCTTTCTTAACGATGCAACTTAGAAAAACATTAATACATATGTTAATGCAATATTAAATATAATGGAGTAGACTATCATACTAATTTTAAAATATAATTATTATCTTCCTATTTTGACATCTCAAATTCAAGCATCTGATTCAATCAAAGAGCTGAGAACTTGAAAGATCAATATAGGCAGATAGAAAATCGATTAAAGATAATATGGCAGTATGAATTGGGTTGAGGCAAGGCCAGCCAACAAGAGTCAAACAATATATGGAGCAAGCAATAAATTTTGAGTTCTACTAGAAGCATAGCATATTAAGTCTCTCATATAATCTATTAAGATATTATCGTTGTTGAAAAGCTTACCTCCTTGATGTTGCCATCCTCTGTCATAGTGTTGAGAGAAAACATAGCTTCAGTCATCATATCTTTAGTCCCTTGCAAATATAACGTTAGCATGAAAGTCATCAAAACCCAATCTAAAACAACAGCATAAATAACAAAAATAAAAGTACCCATAATTGAAATCACATCAAAATCATAAAACTTTAACTCACAGGAAGCTAACTCTGGAAACTATGAACAGAATCTAGTTCCAGTTGCTTCACAGCTCCGAAGTATGAGAGTGACTTAAGAATCAAATATTAGCACAATCAATCAAATTAATTAGTTAACAAGTCATTAATTGAGACTTTAAATCCAAACTAAAACAAAGAAATTGTGAGAGCAAGTAAGAATTAAGTACCGAAAAGACATCCGATGGACCACATATCGACGTCGGTAGAGTAATGAGTTGAACCGAGCAGAACTTCCAGTGCTCTGTACCAGAGTAACAATCTCGTGCGTGTAACTCTTGCGAGGTACAGTGAAGGCACAGCCGAGTCCAAGATCGGCGATCTTCAAAATCCCTCTTTCCTTGTCCAGAAACGATGGCGTTACTGGAGAGGAAGGAGAGAGAGAGTCCCTGTGATTTGTGGTTTAGGTAGGGTAGGGGTTGGAGTGGTGGTGGTGTTGAGGGTGGCTTTGGGGATGAGAAGGGACCGGAGAGAGAGAGAAGAAGCAGAGGCAGAGGAGGAGGCGTCAATTCTCTGTAGAAGAAAGAGAGAGAGAGAGAGAGAATGAATGAATTAAATATAATTAATGAGATGAGAGAGAATGAATTCTTAATTATAATTTCAATATATAAATATAAATTAAAGAAAAAAAATATTGTTTTGCCATGTCAGATGTAATCTCAACCATAAAAATTGGAGTAATCTAATGGTCCAAAAATTGTGTCAAAACTTGTGTCAAAAATATGGTGCCACGATCCGCCCCCTATATATATATATTGAAAACCAGCGTGTAATGCTTCAATTTAGTTTGTTGGAGGCTCATGGGCTTACCTTCAGACCTTTATGATCGTGAGAAGGAGGTAGATTGACCCGGGTGGTTCTAGGGTAATTATCACCTTAATTTAAAAAATAATAATAATAAATTTTGTTTTTCTTAACAAAAATTTATTTTAGCTCGCCAACCCTCCCCCTTGTAGTTTAGATTATCACTTGTATTAATTTTTTTTTTTAAAGGATTCATTTTACTTCCGATTTGCGCACTGTTTAAAACAAAACGCTGGGCTCAAGTTGTATATAAAGAGTAAAGGTGGGCACGATCTGAACTAGATTAGTTTTACACCAAAGTTGAACCAATTACAATAGAAAATTTTGGTTTAATTCAATTTGGACAAAAACTACGATGAAAATTAAACCAAACTAATTTTTAATGGTTTGGTATGGCCAGCCTGGGCCTAAGCCCAATCCTTTTTACTTTTATGTTTTTTTTTCAACTTTGTTATAGTATTTTTTAGGACCTTTTTTTTATTGAGAGGGGCAATAATATATTAAACTCACACACACTACATAGATGCAAGGAATTGAACCTAGGACCTTGCCTAAGGGAGTAATTGCTCTAAACCACTACATCAATGAGTCCTCTATCAAAGATAGTTATTATACAATGAAAGAACTACACATTTAAAATAAACAATATTAATGTACAAGTAGACAGATTGATTCAGTTAAGCCGATTTCAGAAAGCTCAAAACCACAACCAAACCATTACAGTTTGATTCGGTTTTTAACCGTTTGACTTTTTTTTCACTCATAAAAATCCTCCTACTACCTTGAAGTAGTGTCAATATTGTAAAAAAGGGACCAAACTGTCACTAAGTCCAAACTAGGTGGATGCAAATGTAATTAACCCTATCCTTAATCTTTTACACATAATGCCCAGAGACAACGCCAATAGATTTAGGGCGAAGCAGCTGCGTTGGCGTCGTGAGCTCCGGTAGGACACAGTAGAGTGAGTGTGGTTTTGAAGGGTCCAAAGAAAAATGGCAATAACACTGAACAACGGGTTCAAAATGCCAGCAGTCGGTCTTGGTGTTTGGCGCATGGAAGGAAAAGAAATCAGAGACCTCATTATCAATGCCATCAACATTGGTTACCGCCATTTTGATTGCGCTGGTATTTCATTTTCTCCTCAATCGTCAATCTTGATGTTTTCTCTGATATGTTTCTCTGCTTATTGCATGTACAAGTTTACTCTTTTCTGTTCATATGGGTGGAGGAAGCGGAGTGGGAGTTTAATTTATTTTGTTATCTGTTTTGTTGAAAATGGCTTAACTGGAGCAATTGAAGAGGGTTTTATAAATTATAGGTTCCATGGGTGATGGGTTTTATAAATTATAGTAAAATTGAAACCATAAATTTATTTAGTTGCAAGCACACAGCACAACAATGTGAGAGTTTGAACCCAAAATATCGTCTCTTCTCCAGGGTGATTGCCAGTTACCAATTTGTGTCTGAAATGTTTCACACCTCTTCTACTGGCATTTTGACACCACTGAATGCCATGAGTACGAAATAGCTTATTATCTGGTTTTTGGTTTGGTTTGGTTTTTTTTCCTGTTTACAACAACATTTCCTGTTTACAACAACATTTGAATCTAGGTTCTACTCATTTGCCCGACCTCAGGGCCCTTGAGCTTGAGGTTGGTTAAAAAGGAAATTGTGAAGGATTCTAACCTTGTTTTGCATTCAACCGATCTATAGTATCCTCAGGTCCACTAGATTCCAAAGTTGACTTTGCACTTAAAAATGTGATACATGTAGTTACCAGCTTAATCTCTCTCATCCCTCTATATTTTTCTTTTTCCTGTCTGGCCCTCTATGGTGGTAACTTAGTTGTAGGTAGTAGCACAAATTACCCATTGGGCTGTAACATACGTGAACAAGGTAATGTTCCTTTCAGCTGATTACAAAAATGAAGCAGAAGTAGGGGAGGCACTTGCAGGAGCATTTTCGACTGGGCTTGTTAAGCGAGAGGATCTCTTCATCACCACCAAGGCCAGTTTAATTTTCAATCAAGAGTTTTCTTTTTCTGCTCAAGTAGTGCATATTATGCATTCTAGACTATGACAAATTTTTTTCTCTCTCCCCATGTCTTCATCCTTTTTGCAGCTTTGGAATTCAGATCATGGAAATGTCGTAGAGGCCTGTAAAGACAGTCTGAAGAAGCTTCGGTTGGATTATCTGGATCTATACCTTGTTCACTTTCCTGTTGCCACCAAGCATACTGGTGATTAATTCCTGCTTTTCTCATTATTCCTACAATACTCTATATTCTGTTATGTAATCTAAACTCTACTACTTTATCCCTATAATGTTGGCTGTATAAGTTTAAAATCTGTTTGACAATAGGAGTGTGTGATTAAAAACTATGGAGTACAAAAGAAAATGGTTAACTTGCTATTGATGTCTATCCTACAACATCGATGGTGCTGCCGCGTGTCTAGGAAGGGGGCAAGGTCACCATGCAAGCTAATTGTTACAGGACACATCTCTCTGTAAAGTTTAATATTCTCCTTCTGTAAACATCAATATTTGCCATATCTTGATATCGCTATAAATAAAGTCAAGTGAGGGCTATACGCCAAGTAGAGTCATATATATTCCCAATTTGATACTTAATTACAAAGTAAACCAAAAAGTTACAGTTCATAAAAAGCATTACACTTACACATAAAAAACCAAAAAAAGACGATATGCCTTCATATATTTTCATACTCCCATTTGAACATTAACACATGCCATATCTTCATATGTGAGTAAAAAAGTTAAAGGAGTTACACCTTTGGGTTGAGTCATACTCTCATGTTTAATGTAGGAACGAAAGAGTTAAGTTCATAAGTATCTATTATCAACCTCTACAAAAGCCACAAATTTACAATGTGTTAGAACAGTCATCAGCCATCTAATAGATCCACATCCAGATAGCGTCACTGAGGAGAGTTCTCACCTATGCCTCCTTGTCAAGGATACTGAGAAAAATAATGTTAACTGTGGCATAATAATGACCGTCTACATGTGTGGCTTTATGCTATGCCATCCTCATTAACTAGCAAAAACAGTAAATCCCGTGTATGATTAAGAAGAAATTTTATACCATACAGTAAAAAAGAAAAAGAAAAAAGGAAAGCGACTTCATGGGGTTAAAGAACATTTGCTCAATGATCTCATCAAACTTGTTACAGGCCAAATGAGCTCAATAAGAAACAGAAAGCAATTATATTCCAGACTCATGAAACCTAATCAAACTTAAGGTTCATTTGACACCTAAACAAAGATCCCAAAATTGAAGGCTGACAGAGGAAAACAATACATTTGCAGAACACTTTCTCACAGGTTGAACAAGCTAGATGAGAACATTAAAATAAAGAAAAAAAGTTTCAAATGCATCAATGACGTTCCAGTAAGTGGGTGGAGAGATAAAAAGGGGGCTCTGCAACATACTGGACATCCAATTCCAGTGTACCAGACACAACCTTAGTTCTTTTATCATGTATGCTGGTTAACTAATTACTCACAATTACTGTTATTGAGTACGAATGGTACCTTTAGATAACTAAAAATAATGAAAAATATAATCATCCTTCTATGAATTTGTTTATGAACTGTTTTCTTGTAGTCTTCAAATATTGACCCTTATATGGAATTCATATGTCAATTTATTTGCATGTACGCAGGAGTTGGTGCAACTGCAAGTGCTTTGGATGAGGATGGGGTGCTAGAAATAGACACAACCATATCTTTGGAAACTACCTGGCATGCTATGGAAGAACTGGTTTCTATGGGTTTAGTTCGTAGCATTGGGATTAGGTGATTATAATAATTTAGCACATTTCAGTGACTACTTGAATCAATAGTAATGATACTGTGACTTTATATTACCTTTTCCTACTGTTCCATGTGCAATATTATGGTTCTATACGTACTATTATGTAAGTTAGTTCATTTTGTGAATATTTGGGAGACCAAATTGGAAAAATATAAGTGAATGTGCTGAAGAAAATTGAAACCTTGAAGTAATGTGTGCATGCATGTGTATGTGAAAATGGTAATAAATTTCTACAAAAACAGCTTCAGTTGGAGGAGTTATATTAGTCTTGTTCAGGAAAAGGTAAATTTTGTGCCGTATGCTTGTGGCTGTTTGTGCACATTTTGGAATACCGTTAGGTTTGATTTTGTGAGCTATCACATTATTGTATTATTTTTCTGCTACGATCATATTAGTCAAGAAGTATGAGTAACAAGTTTGTGTGCTTCTGAACATGTATAGAATGATATGGGTAATGGTCATGTCACTTTGTTATTGCTCCATCACCCTGTTTGAAACTTGGAAGTTAGAACTGTTATTGTTGCTACTTGGAGTTTTGATCTTTTTGATAAACATATAAATTGAACTTTCTATATGTCCTTCATCAGCTTAGTCTAATATATGCCACCAGCCCTAGTAAAACATTCATATTCTATGTTTTGGCATTTTAATTTCATTCATTTGTGAATTCTCTATGAATTGGGATCTGATGGAACAATTAACTGCAGTAACTCTGACATCTTTCTAACGAGAGATTGCTTAGCCTATTCCAAAGTGAAGCCTGCTGTGAATCAGATTGAAACTCACCCATATTTCCAACGTGATTCTCTTGTCAAATTCTGTCAGAAGCATGGCATCTGTGTCACTGCCCACACTCCCCTTGGAGGTGCTGCGGCCAACAGCGAATTGTTTGG